CCTCCTTACATTGGTGGTCAGTGTCTGTGCCCCCCTTATATTGGTGGTCAGTGTTTGTGCCCTCCTTAGATTGGTGGTCAGTGTTAGTGCCCTCCTTACATTGGTGGTCAGTGTTTGTGCCCTCCTTACATTGGCGGTCAGTGTTTGTGCTCTCCTTAAATTGGCGGTCAGTGTTTGTGCCCTCCTTACATTGGCGGTCAGTGTTAGTGCCCTCCTTACATTGGCGGTCAGTGTTTGTGCCCTCCTTACATTGGCGGTCAGTGTTTGTGCCCTCCTTACATTGGCGGTCAGTGTTTGTGCCCCCCTTACATTGGCGGTCAGTGTTAATGCCCTCCTTACATTGGCGGTCAGTGTTTGTGCCCTCCTTACATTGGCGGTCAGTGTTTGTGCCCTCCTTACATTGGCGGTCAGTGTTTGTGCCCCCCTTACATTGGCGGTCAGTGTTAATGCCCTCCTTACATTGGCGGTCAGTGTTTGTGCCCTCCTTACATTGGCGGTCAGTGTTTGCGCCCTCCTTACATTGGTGGTCAGTGTTTGCGCCATCCTTACATTTGTGGTCAGTGTTTGCGCCCTCCTTACATTGGCGGTCAGTGTTTGCGCCCTCCTTACATTGGTGGTCAGTGTTTGTGCCCTCCTTACATTGGTGGTCAGTGTTTGTGCCCTCCTTACATTGGTGGTCAGAGTCTGTGCCCTCCTTACATTGGTGATGAGTGTCTGTGCCCTCCTTACATTGGTGGTCAGTGTTTGTGCCCTCCTTACATTGGTGGTCAGTGTTTGTGCCCTCCTTACATTCGTGGTCAGTGTATGTGCCCTCCTTATGTTGGTCCTCATTGTGCTCCCTTCATAGGCAATATGCCCTCTGTGTACCCATTTGGTGGTTGGTGGGAGCAGTGTGACTCACTGGACCTGTACGGAAGTGCTTGCAGAGAAAGAAGGAAGAGGATAGGTAGCAGAGAAGGAAGGTGAGTGCTTTGTTTGCATTTGTGTTCACTGTGAATGGTCATAAAAGTGATCACAAGGAACAAAACCACTCTGATTGGCTCTGTGCTTTTTGCGAGTTATCTGAGTGCAAATCACACCTTGCAGTAAATGCGGGGAATATGTCCCTTTTACGCCTATGTGAGAAAGAATATAAACATACAGTAAATAGTGGTGGTATTTTTTTTGCAAGATAGTCAAGGGATCTGAAAAAATGTAGTTAACCTCTTCAGTTTGAAGGTAAAAAAATAAGTGCTACTAAACCCAGGACCCTGCATTCACTGTATCTTTTCCCACAGTATACAGTATGGAATTGCAATTATTTTAGTAAATATAAACTGCTAAATATCTTTTCTCATCAATAGTTAGAGCAGTCTTGTGACTTCAGCAGACCACTGGTTAAAGCTGGTAGGAGGAGTTTTCTGTGTGGACAGTGCTAATTGGCTCTATGCTGATTACATGCACTCTCCCAAGAAAAAACAACAACTTTTTAGCAATGCACACTAAACTGAGCATGTGCATGTGACTACGGGTTCAGTCTGTCTTATCAGGTGGACATCAGCTGAACAAGAGGAGGGGCAGAGAAAACAGGACCAAACAGCCTTTTTACACAATGTGGAGGATTAACCCCTTAGGTTCCACAGTGAGTATAACAAGCATGCTTTACTGCATATACAGACTGATTTTACTGTGGGTTTGACCTCTGTTTTGCAGCTTTGACATTTGTTAATAAAACAGCACATTTCATCAGAACTACTCAGTGTATCCAGGTGAATTATACCTTGTGTTTTTCAGGATAGATTAGACTTTCATGTGATAGCAAATAGAAATGGCTATTCTCCTGATTTTTTTTTACTATTACAAATCGACAGTAAATAGTAAAAAAAAATAGAATTTTTTAAAATTTAGCTGCACATTTCTTGGCATTACCATGCTCTACCAACGAAGAAACAACCCAAACTAAATTCACCTACTTATGATCATTGCAGTGATACCACATACTGTATGTGTATTTTGTTTGTACTTTTAGTAGGTCCCAGAAATAATGCTGCACAGTTTTTTTATGTAACTGCAAAACGCTAACAATGGTACAAATAAAAAAAAAAATATTAATCCTAATTAAAATACACTGACCCTGACCCTGAGCATGATATTTGACCCTAACCCTGACACAGACCTAGATCAAACCTTGATCTAGCTATTTTATCTTCTTTTTGTTCTTTTGTTGTTTTTTTTTATTTTACACTTCTAGCAAGAAGAAAAAGATACATTTTATCCTTCAGTAATGGGGTCCTTGACTTAAATCTTGGTCTAGCTGAATTGAATTTTCATGTTCTCCCTGTGTCTGCATGGGTATCCTCCTATGCTTTAAAGACATGCTGGTGGGTTAAACCATATCTGAACCCTAACCGTGTAAAACAACCCATTCAGAAAAGAAAGGGAAAACATTTGTGTATACATATAAATAAAAATATAAATACCTTTTTGCCCCCCTTTTTATATATAAGTGATCACATATCCTCTGTTCTCAAATGCATAAGGATCTCAGAGAGCTGGGGCAGGGATGAGCAGGCTGAGTTCCCAGAACAGCCAGAAAACTGACCACAGTGTACTCTCCGGCCTAGTTAGGTCAATTTTTTATATGAAAGCAGATTGACTGGCAGGAAACACCAGGGATTTCACACAAAGCAATACAAATAACAGGATACTTTTTCATGGTACAGCAGGTACATATCAGGAATGTGAAATGTTGGGTTACCATATTCTGTAAAGCTCAATTGGCTGTGCATCACAGGAGTGCAGTTTGTTCTGCACTGCTGTGACCTGTTTTTATCTGACAGCGGGCTGAAGCCCACTGTCGGCTGACGTCACTCAGCTGGTCCAGGCTGGGGAAAGATCTCAACTTTAAAGTCGAAATCAGGGGTGGACCGACAACTCATGGGGCCCCCCGGGCAATAGGGGATCATGGGGCCCCTGTGTCCTTGCCAAAACTCAAAAAAAAGCCTATGAAAAAGGTACCAGGGGCATCTCATGGGGCCCCCTACTGACCCCGGGCCCTCGGGCAGTGACCGAGTTTCCAAATGGTCAGTCTGCCCCTGGTTGGAATCCACCCCAGTGCCTGGAGCGGCACCTGGCTCAGCCTCTTAGCAAGGCGCTCAGACCCTGAACCAGACGCTCCCTGCCCCTCCTCAGCCCAGAGCTCCAGTGGGCGAGGGGGAGCACAGCAGACAGTGGTGACTGACAGTCACTGATCTCTGCTCACAGCGGCAGTGAGAAGTCAGCAATCAGCGGTTATGTGATCATTGAGCTCTCACCCTTAGAGACGATGGGGGACAGATACAGCATCGGACTGATGCTGCATCCACCTAGGTAAGTATAATTTGGGAAAAACCACGCCTCTGTTAATTGGTATACAGTATGTGTGTACAATTTGGCCATACACAGGTATTGTCACATTCTGCATGGAAGCTCTAGGACAAGCAAATGGAGAGAGTTGAGGAAACACTGTGGCTTTCTAGTGTATCTGACAAGGTGCCCAGAGAGCCAGCCCACAGACTTGTCAAGAGTAGTATGTGGCTGAATGTTTATACAGTATATGCATACATCAGCCTCTTGCCAGTACTGACTTCAGAATGGGAGAGGAGAAACAGATCAAGGAGCCAATCACATGTGCTAGCAAGTAGCATGCTGATAGGAGGAGACATCACAGTGGATGAGCTCATCAATGCTCTGCATGTCTTTTTACTGTCACAGGCTGGGGCAGGGACATAACCTGTATGTAAATTTTAACTACAGCAGGGCTGTGTCAGAGCTGCCTACATCTCAGAACTGGATAGACATAGAAGTAGATTCTTGTACAGATTTCTCCGCTTCCATATATGTATTACATCTGTGTATTTGGCTGTTTTACTGGAGTTCAGCATTACATTTGTGCATTACATCCTTTTTTTAATATCAATTATTAATTTGCAAATAAACATTGAACACTGGAGTCAAAAACCATTAAGGATTCTCTAAAGAGAAATCAACATAGAAGCTGTTTGCTTTCAAGCCCTCTCTCTTTTATTGAAACTCCATAGAGCTTCATATAAAAAGGCCAAGCAGGAATGAGAAGACCAGAAGTCACTGAACTTTCTGTTCTGTGTAAATTACAGCTTTGGGGAGTAGAAAAAAATAGTTTTCAGCAAAGCAGCTAAGGTTATACTGTAAACACATAAAAAAGAAGCCTAGGGTACCACATGCTGACTAGAAAAGTAAATATGAAATATTACATATTTAACTAAATAAAAAGCAAAAAATGTTATCCCTAAATAAATAAAGTATATCAAAATGCTAAATAGTCCATGCTCTTTGCACTACCTACTGAGAAAAAGCAAAATCTGGTGCTTTCCACAAAATCTTCAGACCCCGTTTGCATTGCAGATGCAGTGTCTTATTATACCTGCAGGTGGCGGGGTTGCTCTTGATACCAGATACTGAAGGTAATTTACAAAGGAATATAACACTTTGGGGTCAATTCACTAAAGGTAACCGCATGGGATATGAAGGTCACGTTACTCGTTTTTCAAAAAACTATCGCATGAGATAATAAAATAATCGATTCATCAAAGTAAAATATCGAATGTGAGATAAATATTGCACATTTGTTAACCACTTGCCTACTGGGCACTTTTATCCCCTTCGTGCCCAGGCCAATTTTCAGCTTTCAGCACTGTCGCAATTTGAATGATAATTGCGTGGTCATGCAACACTGTCCCGTATGAAATTTTTATCATTTTTTTCACATAAATAGAGCTTTCTTTTGGTGGTATTTAATCACCACTGAGTGTTTTATTTTTTGAACTATAAACAAAAAAAGAGCAAAAAAAAAAAAAAAGTTTTTATTTGTTTCTATTATAAAATTTAGCAAACAGGTAATTTTTTCTCCATCGCTGATGTGCATCACTGATGTGTATTGATGAGGCAGCACTGATAGGCAGCACTGATTGGCACTGATGAGGTGGCACAGATAGGCAGCACTGATGGGCACTGATGAGGTGGTGGCACTGATGAGGAAGCACTGGTGGTCATTGATGAGGAGGCACTGATGATGCTGATATGCAGCAATGATGGGCACTGATAGGCGGCACTGATAGGCAGCACTGATGGGCAACACTGACAGACAGCGCTGACTGGTAGCAATGACTGGCAGTACTGCTGGGTGGCACTGATGGTAGCAACTGCTGGGCAGCACTGGGGGGGCACTGATGGGCACTGGTGGGAGGCAGTGCTGGGCACTGCTGGGCGATGGTAGGAGTCACTGCTGGGTGGCACTGCAGGGCACTGATCATCAGTGCCCTGATGATCAGTGCTGATCTGCTCTGTGACATTTGCCGGATATCGGCAGTACTTTCCTCACGCTGTGACAGAGTGAGGAAAGTGCTGCTGATAACCTGCAACTGTATGTACTCGGTGGTCTGCTGTATAATTGGACACAGCTGATCACGTGGTAAAAGGCCACTGTGATTAGCCTTTTACCTCATCATGTGATCAGCTGTGTCCTTTTGGGGGCATGCAGGAAGGCACGTTCTGGGAGGACATCATGTGACACCCTCCCAGAACTGGACTAGCACACTGTAGCTGTCATTTGGCTATAGCGTGGTTTTGAAGTTATAAATACCGCAAAAAACATGAGATAAATCATTAAAATCAATTCATTAAAAAACACACACATTATTTATCACCAGGTGTTTGCTGGAGGTATTCTAAAGTATTCTAGGTTCCTAAAGCCCCTAGGGCTGCTCCCTTAATGGGCAGACTTTGGACTGAATTGCTGTTCTTCGAGGTCTTAGCTATGGCATAGCTAGGAACCTGAAGTGATCTTTTCTGAGGAGCTGGCTATAGGACTTTACTGTAAGGGATCTGGTCTGGAGGTTTGTCTCTCTTTACTGGACAGTATCCAGAGGAAGCTGGAAGATATGCAGCTGTCCTGTGGACTTGTGAGTAATGCCCCGAATTGAATCCTGGTGACTGTGTGCTTTTGGGATGTAAGTGCCAGAGGTAGCTATGGACTAAGACAACTCTCATTGGGTCTCAGATTGCTGGCCATTACTCTGTCCTCAACAGAGTCCTGGAGAGGGAGTCTAAGAGTGCTCCTGTTACTGTGCAATCATTTTGGAGTATCCCTTGTCCCAACCCCTACCTGTTTAAATGTTCTTCGAGCAATAAATATCAAAAAGACATTCCTTAGACTATGTTGTTGGAGCCAGTTTGTATGGACTGGTGCTTGTGGGGATGGGCAGCCTCTCTTTGCTGTTTGGGAAGAGCTAGCTATTAACAGTGGCCCCTACAGGGGTAGAGCTACAAATTTAAACTACATTTTTATATATATATATATATATATATATATATATATATATATATATATAGTAGTCAATCATAACATGAAAATCTATATACTAAATATACCAATGAAAGTGATCTTTTTACATATGTTTCATAAGGGCACAAATACACCTATTGATCATGTCAGGAATCCAATGCTGTCCTATGTTCTCTATACTTCCTGTGTTATCTTAAGGAATCTAATCAGCCCTCCTAGTTAGAGACACCTCCCCTCTTTATTGTGGAGATGAAGAGAGGAGATGTTCTGTGGTTTAAGAAAAGACAATTGGACAGGGTTGATACCCTTCCTTGCGATTTCAGTCCAGTAAGTCCACAACAGGAAATTAGGTGCTGAGTGCATATCTGCCAGGATCAGCAGGTATTGTTCCCTACTTGAAGGATCTTTGAAGGGATAAAATATGTGGAAATGTGCATATATTGCAGAGATGTACTGTACATATTTTTTTTTTTGCTTTTGAACTTTAGGGCTAGGTTCATGCACGAGGCTAGGAGGTGGTAAAAACAGGCAAATTTACATTACGGATACTCAGGTCAGTTCACCTTGCTGTGGTTAGGGTGTGGAAAACTCAACTCGGCATGTCATAATTGGCGGGTATTCCATTTGCTAAATGTGCCCATTGAAGTTCTTGGGCACTGAGCCGCAACTGAGTGTGAAACGCTTGTGTAGAACCCCTATGGCCCGTAGGTACATGGTGGTCCCCCTGGAGACAAGGTGGGCTGACATTTTACTTGCCTTCATGGTAGATCTCTTAGGCATAGTGGGATATGTGAACAGGTGCAAAACAAAAAGGAAGTGTATTGCTTGCACCAACAAAAATTCAAAGGGATTAAGAGTTCAGAACACCCGTCACTGGCTTGCAGACTCAACAGAACACAAAAAAGAGACACCAGTATGGAAAAAGAGCCTTTAAGCTGAACCCAGGAATCTCTACCTTCTTAGTATCAGACATCTTTATTAGCAACCAAAACTTTCCATTAGCAGCAGAAGTAGTCTGGATGAGTCTATCTTGACACTTTCCTAGGCTCTAAAGAAGTTCCTCATCCATGACCTCATCTAAGACCTCAACAGTTCCTTTCCTTTTTCAGCCAAGCTTCGAGATCACAGAGCCTCAAGCACACATATAGGCCTCACACATCAGGCCTAATCGCTTAGCTTCTCCACATACACCCACCAGTGGGCAGAGCCTGTTTAGAAAAGGGAGATCACTTGGCCTTCTCAAATGTTTATACTCTCCTTCAGCATGCACCAGTGGCCATAAACCTCCTACTGGTTGGCTAGGGGAAGTGTGTATAGTCATAAGTCAATTTTACTGCAGTTTCTCATAATAATACCAGAGTTGCCAGTTACACCTACTAACAGAAGGGAAACCAAAGCTCCACTAAATTCAGGGGAAACCCCTGAGGAACACACAGATCAGGGGTGCCTAACTTGTGGCCCAAGAACAAAAAGTTCTTTACTGAACTTTTATAAATTTTATCTTCCCAAAGAAAATCTCCCACTCTTCACAATTATGCCTTATTCATGTGATCAGCTTTCGGCAGCACCTATGTTTGTGAGCAACTATTTTCAAGGATGAAGCACATGAAGGGCAAAATTAGGACCAAAATATCTTATGATATTGAGAATTCATTGAGAATTCCTACTACATCCATTGAATCAGATGCATTCGTTTATCAACAACAGTGCCAAATATCAAACTAGTTTTACGCTGCCTATTAGTTTTATGTTGCCCTCTTTTACTTTTATAATAAAAAATACAAAAAATGAAGTTTTATTACTCAGAGAAGTACATTATCTACATATATCAGTGATCATTAATTTGTGATCTGCCCAACGTTTTCTGCTCATTGCCTGTTCTCCTTGTTTATTTGGGGCCCAAGAGAAATCCTCTTCTTCCAATGCGGCCCAGGAAAGTCAAAAGGGTGGACACCTCTGATGTAAACTATAAATCAGTTTGTAGGCAGGTGCAGTCTTCATTCTCCACTGCAGGTGGTGTTCGTCCAGAACAGCAATGCCGCTGAGGGAGGAAGTCAAGAAAAACTGGGTTTCTGTATGATTCCCTTGGTCTCCTGGGATAGCATTCTGATTGGCTACGATGATTCCAGGTGACCATCGTGGCCATCTTGGGTCATGCAGTCTTTTTAAGTCCCTGCCTCCGGGCTATAGTGCATAGTACAGGGACAGTACATCCACCTGTTAGGGAGAGCACTAACAGTAGGGAGAGGTTCCTGAGGAGCAGGGAAAGCATAGGGGCTTTGTCTGCAACTCAGCAAGCTTCCCTTTGGGTTGGACCAGCCAGGCCGCACTCAGCTCTCCTTAACAGGCACTATCTGCAGCTCCGGCCAACTCACCATTGATAATCTGCTCGAACTGGTGTGAGTTCCCCTGGTCAGGCATGCTTTCCCACCTGGCTGTTGTAGTGTTTCACAACTTCTGCAATACATCATTTCCTGCAATCAGGGACTGCCACCGCATCACACTGCACCTACCCAACAAGCTAGGTTGCTTACCACCAAGCAGAACTAAGGGGTCAAAGGTCAGCTGAGCATAACTCTCTCATGGGGAATGTATGTGAGCAGGGCTTCAGTCAGAAACCATGGGGCCCCGTACAGCCAACCTGACAGGGCCCCCCCCCTTAAAAAAAAACATAACAGTTTACTATGCTTCGGGTATGAATGAACACAGTAAGTGACCGGTACTGATCACTCATCGTGTTCATTCAGGAAAGGAGGGGCTGGTAAATGTGATGTATTTACCTGACCTTTCCTGCACTCTCCATCCTGAAGGATCATATTTTTCTTTTTTTTTAAGTCCGCAAACGTGCAAACTACAACGAAAAACCCATAAGTGATCACAAAAAATGTGCAAGTGCGAACACCACACGAAAAAGTGCACTTAGGGGTGTGTGTCAGGGATCCCCTCGATCCCTGCCGCGATGGTCCCGGCCTGTACACGGGCACACTGCTCCCGCCCTGTACACGGGCACTAGGTCCGGGCCGGCCGCGGCGTTCGAGTTCGCGCATGCGCAGTAGAAGCCGCGGCCGCCCGCTGGGCACCAATGGCAGCGCAGGGCGGGATATTTAAATGTCCCTGAGCTGTCATTTCGTTGCCTTCTGGTCTTACCTGCTTCCTGTGATTCTGAACCTGTGCCTTGTAAGTTTATTGACCCGGATTGTTCTTGACCTGCTGATTTCTCCTGCCCAGACCCTTGCTTTGCCTGACCTCTCTCCCTGGATGCGCCTCATTAGATCTGACCTACTGTTGCTGACCTGGCGTGTGACCCGACGATTCTCTGCCTGCTCCCTTGTACCTTACCGTCCTCTACGTTACCAACTCGGCCTGTCTGACTTCGCACTTGCTCAGCCATCCATCCATCCATCCCATCAGGGTCACCGACCTCCTCACATCTGGCTCTCCCTGGTTGGAGCCCCTGGCGAACACCCCTACCACTGACAGGTGTGCTCAGTAGTGGCGACCTGGTCTCGGGGTACTACAAGTCCATCCCCACCATCAGGGGCTCTGGTGAACAAGTACCCTGGGGCTTAGACTCCGCGCTCTGGGCACGCCTGATCAGTGGAGTGCTAGTGGTGCCGCTCGGCGGTCCCTCACAGTGCGTTTGTCCTACCCCCGGAAGGTTTGGACCGTTACCCTGATCCCCCGGGGCACGAAGCTCCTGACAGGGACAAGGTTCCCATTTGGTCCTCCTGGCCAAAAGACCTGGTGGACCACCGTTCCTTATGCCCAGCCGAAGCCGGACATCCAGTACTAGGCAAGGGGGCTCTCCCGAAGAGAAAGCCCCCTAGAGATCAGGGGAGGAAGGAACCAAAAGGCCACACATCCTCCCCCTAGACTTCAGGGTAGGCCCGAGGACCCACACCCTCCATCCGTGAAAAACACACACATAAGTAAAGTAAAAAGTGACAAAACGTGGGAGTGCATAATAAATAAGATAAGATAAAGTAAAGAAAAAATAAAAAAGTGGTACCGTGCCGAATTGTGCACAGACCAGGCCCTGAGGCCCTGAAGGATCATATTGTGTACTTGCAGCTGCCAGTGGGAAGGAGAGGAGGAAAGCTGGCAGCATTGTGGCGGTGGGGGGCCTGGGGCACCAGGGGGGAAACTTATGGTGTACAGGGAGGGCAATGGGTGTAGCGGCAGGGGACAATTACTAGAACCAATCCCCTGTATGACTGTCTTTGCAGCAGCTGAAACCCAGCAGGAGGGAGAGGAGAAGAAGCCAGCTTTCAGCTGCTGCAGAGAGATCCATACAGGGGATCGGTTTCAGTAATTGCCCCCCCTCCCCACAGTGCCGATCACTCTCCCTGCCCATGCCCAATTTACCCAGCTGCCTGGGCCCCCATGCTGGCCTGGGCCCCCTACAGGAGGACTGGTGGTATGCCCTTATCCACGGCCCTGTATGTCAGTTTCCTTTGGTGACCTCCATCTGAAAATTTTAGCTACCTGGCTGTTATGTTCACTCCCACTGACCCAGGACATGTGTGCACATCAAAGGCATCAGAAAAGTCAAAAGTCCATTTCTGCATACTTGTTGCAAGTCTGTAATTTAGATGGAATGGAAGGTCTGTTTGACAGATAGGCAACTAGCATTTTTAAAATGTATTTAATTAATTTTTCTTCTTTAAAGGATGTGATGTAAAATGCAATGAAATTTATCAGCTCTAAAAATGTACATGTTGATATTTCTGCTGCTGAAACTAGGAGCCAAGAGACACCGAAGATAGCCATTGGTCTCACAAGATGCTTGCACTGGGACCTTCAGAGAGTGGGCTGAGACATGGGAATCAGGTGGAAAGTATTTAACCAACTATCTACTGCTATATGCTTTTAAACAGTGTAGTTGTGGGTGCAGTGCCAATTATAAGTGACACAGCAGAAAAAAACCTTGGATAGTTCCTGTACCTGTTAATAGCTGTGAACCAAACCATCCTTGGATAGCTCAGTTCACAGGCACTAAGTACAGAACTGATTTTGATCAGCTCTGTACCTTGTGATCACTGTAACCAATCACATTGATCACAGACAGTTTCTTTTTTAAAAATGTTAGTCTTTTTTCCTTTCTATAATGAAAAAAATTAAAAAACCTCTTTTGGACTCAAAAAATGGTATAACTGAATAATTGTCAGTTAAATAGCTTGGTAATGAAGGGGTATTACAGGCTAGGACTAAAGTGGTTAATCAATGTACCTGATGTCTCATGTTATTAGAAAGTGTAGGTCTACTTTAACAAAAACAGATATAGTGCATTACTTCTGACTCACAAGGTCATGGTACATCCTCTTGCATGAGAAGATGAGGATTTAGGTTAGTTGAAATGGCATAAAGTATTGAGCAAATATTGACCGTGACAACAGGAGAGGTCCTTATAACATTTACACATCTATTATCATTTAGATAAGCATGGCAGCAGAGTCAGTATAGGGACATATCTGACACCATCCTGTGGAAATACTGAGTAGTCTTATGATGACACAGTGTTTTCCAAAACCTTACATCATTGTGCTGTGTTTATAGACCGGCATGTTCAAACATGTTCCACGGGACAGTTTAAAGCAAACCTGTGCTTTGACCATTCAGTGTAATGCTTTAACAAAGAAGTATGGCCAATGCTTTTTGGCTATCCTTCTCTTGGCGGTTACAGGAGTGCACTTACTTCTGCTCTCCTGTGACTTAGAGTCAACTTTTGGGGGGCTATTGCCCTCGATTAGCTGACATCACAGAGTCACTTCAGGTTCTGGAAGGATCCTAACTATATTGTAGAGATGAACCCAGCTGGCTGATTGACAGCTGGCTCCGCCTCTCAACATGCAGCTGAGAGCTAAAGCCTGCCACTCCCACCCCATCAGACAGTGAACCAAATGTAATATCTCCTGCACTCCGGGACCCAGGCCGGTGGTGAGTAGATGGAATCAAACTCCAAAAAGAAAGGAACCACCGGAATAAACAAGGTCGTGCAGCTCCACATCAAGGCTGGGGAAGCCCAAACAAAACTGTGAAGGAGAACAACAAAAGAGAAGCGCACCAACCTTGCGCATTACCTCAGTAACCAAAAATTTATTGAATAAAAGAATGGTACTCACAAACAGCGAATAAAAACAAGCATGTAAGTCCTCAAAGGGACTTTAGAGGCAAGATGCCAATGCGAATCCCATCATGGAGGAAGCCACTCAGTACAGCTGACGCGTTTCGAAGGGCATGTCCTTCGAAACGCGTTAGCTGTACTGAGTGGCTTCCTCCATGATGGGATTCGCATTGGCATCTTGCCTCTAAAGTCCCTTTGAGGACTTACATGCTTGTTTTTATTCGCTGTTTGTGAGTACCATTCTTTTATTCAATAAATTTTTGGTTACTGAGGTAATGCGAAAGGTTGGTGCGCTTCTCTTTTTGTTGTACTCCCACCCCATCCCCAGCGCGGTGCTCCAGTGAATGCTGGAGGAGCAGATCGGTGACTGACAATCATTGCTCTCCACTCTGTGCAAACTGAGAACTGAGTGGTCAGTGATCATGTGATTGCTCAGTTCTCGGCCGACATGGGAAAGCTGCAGCATAGAGGTGAGTATGAAGGTTTGTTTTTATGTACCCCAAACATCTTCTTTAATTCCTTATTTCTATTTCAATCTTTCCTGCCACTACTTATGCTTTCCTTGCCACTTCATTTGGCACAATGGTCACTGAATTCTGGGATCATCACAAAATGGTAACTTGGGAAATCCCGAAATGGGAGACTCCTCTATTCTGGTCTTAGAAGATGCAATGCAGGTAAACCTCCTGGAGCTGGCAAGATGGCAGGCTAGGTAGGTGCTGGTGACTAAGGAAGAGGAGTAGGCACGGGCCCCCAGGGTGGAGTGTAAGCTAGGGTGGGAAAAGCCCAGTGCTTGAGTGGCCATCATAGCACACAAAATGGAGGAGGCAGGTTCAGGGCTAAAATAGGCGCATGTTGTGGGCACAAACTACCATTCATTCATTCATGGATCCAATTATTTGTGATGTAGGAGCCTGTAAAGGAATTGGACCACCTTGCAAGGTGAATTCAATACCCTCTTACAGCTGCAAATGTGAATGGTGCTCTGGCTGTGTGATGGAGCTCTATTACTGTGGTAGTAAAAAGAAAGTTGGAGTCAACACATGGCCAGCACAGTGGTCCTTCTTACAAAAAGGAGGCATTTCTTAACCTCCCCACACATGGCTGAGGGAAAGCAGGCTCAGTTGCATGATAGGGCCCAAGTGATTTATGGTATTGCTATGCAGTGATTGTTTAATAAATCTAGGCTTCATTTTGGGGAACGATTGGGAGGTAAAGGGAACAGAGTGGACCATTCAGACTTTATGGCCAATACTTCCAGGTGCATCAGACTTACTCCATGTGACAGCCACTTTAAGGTAAATTTAAATGACTGTTTATGAAGATCCTTACTATATTGTAGTTGTTAAAGGATTCAAATCAGATTCTCACATGTATGGCTGACTTAAATATTTAACCATGGTGAAATTATAGCCAGCATGCGGTCTAAAAACAGGAGGGTTTATAAATAAAAATTACTCCTACCAGGGGCGGACTGACAACTCATGGGGCCCCTGGGCAATAGGGGATCATGGGGCCCCTGTGTCCTTGCCCAAACTCAAAAAGCCTATGAAAAAGGTACCAGGGGCATCTCATGGGGCCCCCTACTGACCCCGGGCCCTCGGGCAGTGCCCGAGTTTCCAAATGGTCAGTCCGCCCCTGACTCCTACTCTATTCATTGTTTCCACCCCTTTTAATTATAAAAGGTAATTCGAAAATCAAGTACTAGTTTCTGGGTTTTGATACACCCTTCCAGGCCATCTTAGTTCCAGCAAGAGAAGTAGAAGGAGCCTGGATCATCAGCATACAATGTAGGCAGTATTAGGAGCCACTGTGAAATGTAAGCTGAACCTGTGGGTTCTTTGGTTGCACCATTCAGTCAACATACTTACCCATTAGGCATATTCCTGACTTGAGCCAACAGTTTTAGTGAAAGAATGCCCACCAATGTAATTATATTTTATTATGTCTTTTAATAGGAGTGCCACTAGTGCGTAGGAGGCTCCTAATGGGGGTAATATAGAAAAGGAGTTAGATATCGGTCTTCAATAAAAGCTGCTGATTGCCAATGTTAAAGGGGACTATTATTAGATCTAAAAAATAGGGTCACTGACCACCAACCTCAGTATCAGGTACCGTAAAGAAAGGTTGCTAAGGGGTCCCCAACATAATTCTGTTATGGGACCCTGTGATTTGTCGTTATGAACCTAGTAGCTATTATACAGGTATATGAGGGTGGCAACATTTGCTTTTTCCACATGCAAACTATTATTTTTTGATAAGAAATACACCACAGTGACTGTGCTTCATTGGATGTATCAGGTGAAATCGATAAGTCTGCTCAGGTGCACAGAAAGCTCTCTTTTTGTTGCAATTGCATCACAAATGTGCTATGAAAAAAGTTTTTTTTTTGGCCCATAGTAAACAATCAGCTTCCACCTGTCATTTTTACATCTCTTTAAAAAGGAAAAAATTAAAAAAGGATTCTGATTGTTTAACATAGGCAACAAGAGATGTTACTGTTAGAACACTATTGACACACTACACCAATCATTCTCAGCCCGGGCTCCTTCAGAGGTTGCTAGGGGTTCCTTGAGCTGGTTGACCCCCAGTTTGGTAGTGCCTGCTTAGTTCTAGGGCCAATGCCACTTGGCAGAACCAACAGCACGACACTAATGATCTCTTAAACTGTCTAACCACCACTGTAAGGGGGCATTCTTCATATTAACTACCAATGTAAGACCCTCTGCATACCCACATACAAAGAGGACCTCCCTCCCTCCCCCCCCACCAGCATGCTGATGTGAAGTCATCTAACATTTGTTTTTTAAAAACTTTTTTTTTGCTTTTAATGAATTTTTTGTGTTCTCCTTTCTCTGAAGGCAATGGTGCTATAGCCAGGGCTGCACAGATATCCCCTGAGAAGGCAAAGTCACCAGTGCCTTCAGGAGCTCTCATTCGAAAATAAATGTAAAGTGAAGCACATGACATCAAGTGCATCTCATATATGTACCATACAACATTTCAATACTCTGTTTAAAAGAAAGAAAAGATTGTGAGCTCTTGGGGAAAGTCTTTTTTTACCCCATCAAGGTAATGCAGTATGAGGCATCATGACGCCACCAACTGTTGGCTTCTTCTTTGTCATACACCTCATCTTACACATGCACTATACCAAACAGTTTTCTTTTTTTTTTTTTAAAAGGAGGTGTGGGTTATTGATTGGTGGAAGTCATGATTGCTGAGACTTGGGAGTCAGGTAAGTACTGCTAACTTTATTAGTTTTAGTTAGTAAAATGTTTTAGGTAGCCATATTTATTAGGTGGGGGGGGAGCTTTAAGGCTCAAGTAACTAGGTGATGTCAGTCAAATGCATGTGTAAAAGATATGGGTTCAGCGAGCGCTTAAGTGTGGAAAGCCGCTAGAACACTAAAAAGGAAAACCATATAACCTTCTAAAATCATATAAGAAACATATAGTGCAGCGCTTATACAAATTGGTAATGAAATATGATGCGGGTGTCTGAAGTTAGAATACACAATGTAAAAATATATATAAAAATAAACGCAGAAAAATTAATATAAAACGCATAAATATTGTGAAAATAAAGTCCGTGTGACAATCTAAAAGGAACAGGTAATGTATGTCCCAACACCTGTGTACTAAAAGCAATAGAACAAATATTCCAATCAACATTCAAATAAGTGCAAGGAGTAATGCTGGTATCAATATTCCAATAGGTGACTCCTCTAATCCCAGTAATCTGGTGATGTGCAGGAAAATGGTAAGATTGCACACTCACCAGAGGCGCAATATAAATGCGCATATGAATCAAACAAGTCTGAGGTCCCCTCTCTCCTGGGAAGGAAGCAGCCTGGAGTGGAATAACCTCTACTTAGGAATAAAGGCAATGAAGTAGTACTTCCAGAGGTCCCCTTTAGAGCTGCAATAAGGGTCTGCAAAAGGTATCTCTCCTCTCGTCCTTGGGATGGTCACCTTGGGTTTTTGGGGAATTAAGTGCTCGGTACGGAGCAAAAAATGGTGCCCATAGTGTAGTATTTCACGTTCAATTAGGTTTATTTGAATAGTAAAAGGTAAATGAACACACATTTAAAAAAGTACCCCGTAAACCAGGAAAAGGGTGGGTAATGAGAGTATTTAAATTCTCAGGTAGCTACAGTATATGCAGCTTAAAGCTGCCTAGTGCACTAACCGGCTGGGTTTCTAAGATGGCCGCCGGATCTCCGTGATCCGGCGTCGTGACGTCACAGCTTGCAGGGCTCCTCCTTAACGCGTTTCATACAAGACATACATTCTCAAAAGTGGTATGTCAAATGCATGTGATTCAAATCAAAATGTAGCAGATTATGTTTGAAATGCTGTGCTTACAATGCAAATGAACCTCGATGGGACCTGTTCCATCTTAAGGCCTCATTCACATAGTTGTGCCAATCCAAACACCTGTAAGAAGGGCTCTCTTCACCTGCATGGGCTGTACAAATATTCCTTGCAGGTAGCCTGCTCAAATCAATGACAGGTGGGTGGCTTCAGTGTCATGCATTTATCTCTAAAACGCATTCCCCACTGTACATCAGTACAGGACTAATTCATGGATCAGACTGTGGTCGGGCTGTGTTCAGGGTAGTCCATCCGCACCCATACAGATGGCAGATTAGGAGCACCGCCTGTGTCTGTACAGCCGCTGCATCCCAACTGACATCAATGGGCCTGCCTGCACAGGGATGCACGGAACCCCATTAAAGTAAACACAGCTCTGCATGGCCATACTCTTTAGTACACCCAGGGGTTGAGTTACTAAAGGCAAATATACTGTGCACTTTGCAATGCAGTTGCTCCAGAGCTTAGTAAATGAAGTAAAGTTTCACTTTGCAAAGAATATCCTATCATGTGCAAGGAAAATAAAAACAACAGCATTTTTCCTTATATATGATTGGATGATGGAAGCCAGCAGACCATTTGCTAATTTTCTGAACTCTGGAGCAACTGCACTTGCAGAGTACAATTGCACTTTGCAAAGTGCACAGTCTATTTGCCTTTAGTAAATCAAGCTCCATGTGTGAACAAAGCTGTAGCACATATTTTTATTATTATTATTATTATTATAATATACAGGATTTATATAGCGCCAACAGTTTGCTCAGCGCTTTACAATATAACGGGAGACAATACAGCAAGAATACAGTTCAATACAAGCAGCACAGTGGCTAAATGGTTAGCACTTCCGCCTGGCAGTACTAGGGTCGTTGGTTCAAATCCCAGCCACGGCACCTCCTGCCTGGAGTTTGCATGTTCTCCCTGTGCCTGTGTGGGTTTCCTCTGGGTACTCTGGTTTCCTCCCTCCTCCAAAGACATGCTGGTAGGTTAATTGGATCCTGTCTAAATTGACGCTAGTATGTGTATGTATGAATGTGAGTTAGGGACCTTAGATTAGATTGTATGCCCCTTGAGGGTTAGGGACTGATGTGAATGTACAATATATATGTGTAAAAGTGCTGTGTATATTGATGACGCTATATCAATACCTGAAATAAATACAAGAGGGTTAGGGGGGCCCTGCTCCTTGGAGCTTACAATCTAATATGTCATGCGCAATCATTATCTTGAGCCATGTGACAGTTAGTTTTTAGCTCTCATTGCTGAAAATAAGCTCTTCATGGCAGATAACAATCCATACTGCTAGGGAGGCATTTACATTTCTTCAAGGCATTAAAGTGCATATGTTAAGTCATGTGTGAACATACATTAGGGCTGTCAATACAACCCAGCTTGTCCAAAATCAGACATGACCATTTTGTTAGTAACACAATGCATTGCAACACATCACTGTGCTTTGCAGTGTGCTACAGCGCAGGTCTGTTGGGGTGCCATTCAATGTGAATAACACTGCATCACACTATTGTGCACATTACCGCAATGCAAAGGCATGATCCAGCCCTTAGCAAACTGAACCTTGTGACAAATTGTGTGATGATTGACAACTTTCTGCAGCTGATCCATGGCAGTCACCAAAAACACCACAAAGCTGATGTGCAGTGCAGTGCGGAAAAATGCAGACATGCAAGTCACCAAAGCTGCAGTGCTGACACTTGAATAAATTGCAACCTTGTACACTCTCAATAAAGTTTAAAAAAATGTAACCAGAGTGATGCCATGAAACAGCAAACTACCCGCACTGTAAAATTGAGCATTTCAGCATGATCAGGCCCTTAGCCCGTGTTTGCGTTGTGCTCGGTATAACAAGCGCCCAGTAGTGTGTGTTGTCTATGGGTGATGTCATGCGTTGTTTCAATACATTACACTATTTACTTTTTTCTAACTTTATTGAAATGTCTTAAAATTACTCTATACACTGCAGCATGTCATGTTTTGCATAAAAATATAGACATGCTGCAGTTTTTTGCAACCTAGACCTCCGCACATGTATGGTGTTTTCTATGTGCCCTTGTGTTGAGCCTGCGTTGACCAATTTTGCTAAGTACAGTTCAATACACTTGGTGTGAATAAGCCTTTACCTAGTTTCCTATGCCAAGTGTATGCCTTTCCTTACATAACATGGCATGGATATTACCACTTGAAAACAGCGGAGTAAGGCATCTCTCTGAGCCCTGCTGAGCAAGTGGATGGCAGGTCTGCATCTGCTCC